ACACAATTGAAGATTTATTTCTCATAGGATGGGGCAATAAAACTATAACACAACAAGAAGTTTGAAATTTATTTAATGCAAAGAATCCACTCTTACTACGGTTAGTAAAATTGAACAAAATTTCAGAGAAACTGGACATGTCAAAGGTATTCCAATAATTGGCATTTTGTTAAGTGTGGAAAAAGATCCTCACACTGCTTCTATTCTAATCGCAGTTGAAAAGTAGCATACATAAATGCATACAAAATTAGACTAAAAAATAGTTGTATGTAATACACCTCGTTATATAAATTTTTAGGTTAGATATATCTTTTCTCTTTAAATTTATGTTATTAATAATTATGCTTGATTGTTTGAGTTATTTGTTTTTCTCTAATCACTTGACTGTAGAAAAAAACATAATTAGATGAAATTGTACTGATAAACAATTGAAAATCATCACTTATAAAAAGTTTGATACGAAAATCCTACAAATTTCATAAATTGTCAATGTAAACGCTTTATATCTCAACAAATATCAATCTTAGCGATTCAACTGATAATACATTTTTTAAAGAAAATTAAATTTTCCACAAATTTGTCCTTTACATTTTTTCAAAGAATCCAGTCAATTTTGAAATATCTATCATCCTACAGGTGCAGATTGCAGCTATGGCACATAAAGCATTTTTGTAGAACTTTTGATTACGAGTAAATCCTTTTTTGAAACAATCCAATAGCTTAAAATGCGGCTGAGATATAGATATTTAAAAAAAATAATCAAAGTATTTTAAATGGGAAATCTTTATACGCTTTGGTAGAGTACTTTAAGTTAATATTAAGGCCTCAAATTTTCAGGGAATTTTTTTTTAACATTTTCAACAAGATTTTAAGTTGGGAGCGAAAAAATAAAAATAGTCGTAAAAAAACCACCCCATGTATTACATATATAAATATATATATATATGTATATATACATATTTAAAGCCGTTCCCAGTGTCTCCTTTAATATGTATGTCTAATGTTTTTAGTCTGATTTTTCTCCCATATTATATTTATGACGCGTGTTATTTGGCATAAAACAAAAAGCGATTTAGGCCATTATAGATCAAATTTCGGCGTTATCGGCAAATATTAGTGGGATTCCTTGTTAGCCCCACGCATTGTCGGCGCTTTGTCGGCCCCTTTGAAAACCATCAACCGCCCAGGATCACCTAATTGTCACATCATAAACACAAATTCCAAGGCAAATTGAGGAAACTTTGGGCATTTTTTCTTAACGTTCTTATGGCCACCTATCGCATCGCTAATTATTTGTTTAGGTAGTAGGGGATATCGTAAAATTAAGTAGGTCTTCTTCTTGCCTTCTATTGCCACTTAACATCTCACATGCATTATACGATCTTTTCGATCCTTTTTTTTTATTTTACATTTTATATGATGCCTTCGAGCGGTTTTAAGGAAATTTAGGCGGGGCACAAGTCTAGCTAACATTTTCTTGATATATTTTGTTTTAATGGGGTCTATACTTTATTTATAATATTTTACATTACACACCAGGCCCATAACTAGGGAGGGGCCAAAAGGCCAAAAATTTTGAGAGTACCCCAAATTTTTTAGAGGCTTCTGATAAATTTCTAAAACCTTCAGTTTACTGTCGGCCAAATTAGAAGTACAACATAAACTTTTCAAATATTGGTGTTGAGAAACTATTTAATACTTTTGCATTTTTGTATTAAGATAATAAAATTATTATATAAACTAAACTAAATATGTTAAGCTTTTCTTAAGTCGGTTAAAAAATTTTAATTTGCGCATAAAAGTTAAAGCAATATTGCTAAACCATCGACGATATTTTAATTTGATTGTTTTGTTTATTTTTTAATAAATTAGAAAAAGAAATAATTTGGAGTTTTAATAAAATATAGTTTGAAAATATTAATGTGTATTTTCCCCGTTAGACAGAGCGCACGTCTCTCAGAACCGGCTTAGATCTGTAACGACGATTTGACATGCATTTCTTTACAAAAAAATTCATAACTTCTACAGCTTTTGAGTCCCCCCCAAAAATTAGTAGTCAAAATTTTTTTTGTTTAAATTTGAGGTGGCGTTTTTTGGGAATTTAAATTTTAATAAAAAAAATTACATTTTTTTTTGAGAATTTTTGAAGAGCGTCAAAAAATATGTTTATATGATTTTTTCGAAATTTTTTGTCTTTCGGGTTTTTAAATAATCGAAAAATAAGAGAAGTGACATTTTTTGGTATAAGGTTCCACATTGATTGGTGGAATGTCACGAATTTCAGCGATAATGACCCTCTTATATATGCCTACAAGACAATTATCGCCTTCGATTATCGCAGCGATAATTGTCTTCTAGGAATCGATGACAATTAATAAAAATAACGTCAGCTTTTATTTTAATGTGACAATTATTTAAAATGTTACGTTTTGGTAAATAATTATTTGTATCAATTAATGAAAATGTGAAAAATTGTGTACCAAAAAATTAAAATATTTGAAAATGTTATTCTTTGATTTAATTAGGTAGTTTATTCGTGTAATTATCTATCTATCTATCTATAAAAGTAATCAGGTAATTTTACATTCAAGCATATTGCCTTTTAAAAAATGCATTTGGTCATTTTCATATTTTCCAAAAGTTCTTTTGTAAAATTGTCTCCTAAATCTGAAAATACCGTCAAAAATTATTAAATTGGAGCAATTTTTGAGATATAGTCAATTCCATATTAAATGGAAAATTGTATATCTCAAAAACTGTTCAACTTTTTTAAGTTTTGACGACATTTTCGTATTCAGGGGACAATTTTACTTAAGAATTGGCTGTTAAATTTTGGGATACCATGGTATTCCATGGTTAACCATGGTACAAGTGAAAAAGCAGCCACTAATAACTATTAAATTAGTCATTTTTGACTAATTCATTTTTAGAGAGTTCATCATAATTTTGTACTTTTTTAGAAATAAAAATGACAGTACCTAACAACTGTGAAAAATATTATTTTAATTCGTGCCTAAGTGTATTTTTTATCAATTTTACGATAAATTATAGTATCGATATGAATACTTATTGGTTTACAAAGTAGGTATAGAATTATTACTTATATGTTCTATATATAATATGGTTAAAAAGATACTCATTTAATAATTGCAAAAATGAGAACATTGCTTTTGTTATGTATTATAGTACATTTTTATGGGGCTCAAAGTATAAGAACTTGCAAAACAGCAATTGATTATGCCACTGGAAAAAACTGTTATGAAAATAAGGACGATATAAGAAATATTGTGAGTAAATTAACTAAATGTTTATTTGATGCGATCTTCAACTCTTGTCTTGAAGATTTTAGATTTAGATTTTTTGTGATAGATAGATTTTTAAATGGTTGATAAGGATTTAGTATTTGAGCAAGCTTCAATACCAGATTTGTAGATAATAATATTTATAAACAAAAAACATATATTATAATTGTAGACTGAAGTTATATCATCCAGGGGATATAATGTCGAAGAACACTTTTTAACAACTGATGATGGGTATGAGATTTTAGTGGAAAGACTTTACAGTATATATATATATATATATATATGTTTAAAAAGTTACTCATTTAATAATTGCAAAAATGAGAACATTGCTTTTGTTATGTATTATAGTACATTTTTATGGGGCTCAAAGTATAAGAACTTGCAAAACAGCAATTGATTATGCCACTGGAAAAAACTGTTATGAAAATAAGGACGATATAAGAAATATTGTGAGTAAATTAACTAAATGTTTATTTGATGCGATCTTCAACTCTTGTCTTGAAGATTTTAGATTTAGATTTTTTGTGATAGATAGATTTTTAAATGGTTGATAAGGATTTAGTATTTGAGCAAGCTTCAATACCAGATTTGTAGATAATAATATTTATAAACAAAAAACATATATTATAATTGTAGACTGAAGTTATATCATCCAGGGGATATAATGTCGAAGAACACTTTTTAACAACTGATGATGGGTATGAGATTTTAGTGGAAAGACTTTACAGTAAAGTTACGAAAACAAATCATGTTTTAATGGGACATGGAATTATGATGAATGGTGAAGGCTTTGTTTCACAGGGGAATAAGTCTTTGGGTATACAATATCTTCGTTTGGAAATGCAGATTTTTAAAATTTATTTTGTAGGATTTGTTTTGGCGGACGCAGGATATGATGTGTGGTTAATATCTTTTAGAGGACTAAAGTACAGTAATAAAGGAAAAATACCAAATTCAGAATATCGTTACTGGAATTTTACGTTTCACGAAATGGCAAACTATGATTTTAAGGTAGCTCTAAACTTAGTTTCGACGACCACAAACCAAAAAGTCATCTACATGGGTTATTCTTTGGGTACCCATGTGGGTTTCGCGTATGGAAGCCTTTTTCCACAAGAAACTGAAGAAAAAATTGCTGGTCTAATGATGTTATCTCCGATTGTTTATTACATTAATGCCAAGTTGTCAAGTTTGGAAAATATGAAAATGACCGAATTCATTTTTTAGGCAATATTCTTTCAAGCAAAATTATCCGGAAATGGAACACTGTGGTTGGTGAATGGCTCTATACCTACATCTACAAGGACATATATGAGTTGGTGATACCCAATAAGTTGTGTTGTGGTATCTTGCATAGTACACGAATTGATTTTGTGCTATACCTTTGGATTTTTATTCCCCGTCCTATCATTATTCTTCTTCATGTTCGGGATGCCTTTGAGCTTTTTGAATTCAGGAAAAAGCCATACGCGAAATTCTCTGTTTTTGTTTGGACTTTTTCTGGGAGGAGGAGGTTTAACCATGGGCTTATACATATTTGAATCTATGGCGCGACAAAATAATCCCATTGAAAACCCACCGTATCAAGACTTTTTTATACTCCGATGTATTAAGTTTGTTAATTTTAACCAAAGTAGATATTATTAAAGTATTTTTAGAAACTACAGGTTCATTATTTTAGTATTTAGTAATTATGAAAATATATGGTAAATCAAATCAACCTTGTAATTTTGACATTTCACAAAACTATGCAAAATTGATATTTTAGTATTTATTTAAAAATAAAAACTTTTCCATTATTTATTCACTAGTACAAGAACCTTCAGCTATTTTTTCCGTTTCCTTTAGTAAATCATTAAAAAATAGAGGTATAACATCTTTGGCTTCGAGTATATCAAGATGCATCCAGCTTTTTAAAGTGATAATATTTATTTTGCATCTATTCTTTGGTTGTAACTGGCTTTGAGTTTTTTTAGCGGACTAAAACAAACAAAATTATTTAAGTTTTACGTTTTTTTTTGACAATATTTACCTCAACCGTTGATATCCAGTCGTTTAATCCTAACCACATCGAAACTGGCACTGGGATATTAGTTAAGTTATAAAGAGGTGGGTCTGGTTGGTTATAATACTCCATATTTAAACTTGTCCCATAATCATATTGCGCAAATCTAACACTCTTTCCAATCTGCAACTCGTGTTTTAAATTTTTCAAACAAATTGTGTCGGGGACTTTTTTGAAAAACAATGGATACGTCTCATAGTCGATCTGCTGGTAATCAAATCCGACAATAATCCCTACCAATCCATGACATATATTCATTGTCAACACTCCACCGAGTGTGCAAAATTTAAATGTCTCTGGCAAAAAGTCGAAAATATGGCCATGGAAGACGAACTTATCAATGATCTAAAAAAATAAACTCCTAAATTACTACATCCTATGGAAAAAAAGATTTTTTACCGTCAATAATGGCAAAAACGGTCTCAAAAACTGAGCAAAAGTTTTGGCATTAATGTAATAAACAATCGGAGATAACATCATTAGACCAGCAATTTTTTCTTCAGTTTCTTGTGGAAAAAGGCTTCCATACGCGAAACCCACATGGGTACCCAACGAATAACCCATGTAGATGACTTTTTGGTTTGTGGTCGTCGAAACTAAGTTTAGAGCTACCTTTAAATCATAGATTGCCATTTCATGAAATGTAAAATTCCAGTAACGATATTCTGAATTTGGTATTTTTCCTTTATTACTGTACTTTAGTCCTCTAAAAGATATTAACCACACATCATATCCTGCGTCCGCCAAAACAAATCCTACAAAATACATTTTAAAAATCTGCATTTCCAAACGAAGATATTGTATACCCAAAGACTTATTCCCCTGTGAAACAAAGCCTTCACCATTCATCATAATTCCATGTCCTATTAAAACAGGATTTGTTTTCGTAACTTTACTGTAAAGTCTTTCCACTAAAATCTCATAGCCATCATCAGTTGTTAAAAAGTGTTCTTCGACATTATATCCCCTGGATGATATAACTTCAGTCTACAATTATAATATATGTTTTTTGTTTATAAATATTATTATCTACAAATCTGGTCTTGAAGCTTGCAGATATTCTAAATACTTATCAACCATTTAAAACGCTATCTATCACAAAAAATCTAAAGGGCCAGCTTCAAGACAAGATTTGAAGATCGCATCAAATGAACATTTAGTTAATTTACTTACAATATTTCTTGTATCATCCTTATTTTCATAACAGTTTATCCCAGTGGCATAATCAATTGCTGTTTTGCAAACTCTTATACTTTGAGCCCCATAAAAATGTACTATAATACATAAAAAAAGCAATGTTCTCATTTTTGCAATTATTAAATGAGTAACTTTTTAACCATATATATACATAGAACATATAAGTAATAATTCTATAGGTACCTACTTTGTAAACTAATTGGTATTCATATCGATACTATAATTTATGGTAAAATTGATAAAAAACACTTAGGCACAAATTAAAATAATATTTTTCACACTTGTTATTGTAATTAGGTACTGTCATTTTTATTTCAAAAAATGTACAAAATTTTGATGTATGATATGGGTGATTCTACAAAAGTTGGGCAACTTTTGACCTCACTTTGTTTTTATAGTTTTCGAAGAAAACTAAACAGTATTTTGTTATGAGAACATAGATAATATAATAAATATACTGTTCCAGACCGGGCCAGTTACTTTTTCAAACAGTTTCCGAAATATCTGTGTTTTCTAAATTTGAATGCAAGGGAAAATATAAGATTTATTGCAACTTTGAATATATTATACATTAAATATCTTAAAATCAAATAATACCACACATCAGTGGCGGCTGGTGGATTTTGGGTATACCGATATCTCAATTATTAGATATGGAACCCAAACCAAATTTATATGAGTTTATAATGACATTAAATAAACAAGTTCTGCGCAAGCAGAATTTAAATTAAAGTTTGCGAAACATCGAACATGGAACTAATGGCATGGTACTGATGAATGGGATACAAATTTGAGATTATAATTAGGAATTAAATATTTTACAGATATTTTTCATTAGTGGATGCTACTTATCATTACAATGAAATATATATACGTAAGAAAATAACTACTCACCACAGTACTGAAATTTTGACTGGAACTATACGTGCATTCACCACAACTTGTGCCGCTTGCATTGTTTTCAAGAGTACTATCGTGCAAAGGGCGGGCTCTGTAGGTAATTTTTTTTACCAACACTTGAGTTAATACGAGGACTTGACGTTTAAACTTCAATATTTCGCAGGAAATTTGAATTTTAACATTGGACATAGAACTGACGGGTAAAAGTGAGTACAAATATTATCAATTTTTTAAAAATTGCTATTATTCGAATCTATGATAAAATATGAAAAATACATTATTTAATGTTTTATAGTTTGTAGTGAAATTGAAAAATTTAAGATAAATTAAATATATTTTAAAATAAATCATCATCAAATATTTGATTCAGGAGTTGTGACACGCCAAGGTACTGATGTTTTGAAGATTTATTATGTTTTTCTACAAACGTGCTTTTGAAAAAATACATTAAAATTGAGTGGACAAGTTAAAAAAACCTGGATATTTTGTAATATACTAAAATATTTACAAAAAATATTAAAATACCTACTCTATTGACTGATGACATCAAGTTGTCCAACTTTTGTAGAATCACCCATATAGATAAATTAGCCTTTTATTTTTATTTATTTACCTATTGCTAGTTACCTTTTCGATACCTTGTAACACGATTTACATTGTTCACTGTATTTTTTTTACAAAATTAATTCATCACCATGGTGAGTATGGCCTAGGATCGCCTATAGGGTAATCCAGCACTGCTTCCAACACCTGATGTACCTGGTTGTGATAATTCTTCATTAAACTTTCAATAATTATTCCGTTTTTTAACCATTCTTCATTTTTAATTTTAAAGTTATTTAAACACCGATGTGAAATCAACCACTAGTGCACTGTGTCTTAAACTTACTAAAAAGTTTGGTTTAATTTTTTTCATAACAAGTTGAATTTTCAGAAAAAAGACACTACTTAAAAATAGTTATGTTAAAAAATGAAAATAAACGAAGAAAGTAAAAATCTCAAAATGTAATAGTCACTTAAATTTGCTAGTAGTTTACAATATCAGTGAATAATTTTTTATCTACTCATTTAATGCAAAACAAGGGATTGTTAATTAATTCAAAAAATATTTTTCCTTTAAAGATGCAAAACAATTATCTAAACATTAATTAATACCTAATAATTTGTTATGAGTAGGTAATTAATATTTAATTATACTTTGTATATTTTTATAATAAAATTAAAAACAAGATAAAAGTAAAGTAAAGTTTTCTGAACAACGTCACGTAGAGATCACCCTATAAATCGTAGTTTAATGCCCATATGAATTGTTTTTTTTTTAATTTGGAATATTTAAAACGTTATAACTTTTAATTTAAATTTTTTTATTGAAATGGAAATTTTTATACAATCATATTTTAAAAAAATATGGCAAATGTGTGCGTATCAATTTTATTGTTTTAAACTTTGAGGTGTTATAAAATCTAAACAGAATTGTTCAAAAAAATCTATTCGTTTAAGTTGTTTTTAACAAATTGTCATCACAAAAATACCATGCCGGGTTAGGTATCAGGTAAATAGATAAATTTGTTTGATAAATTATACAAAGAAATCATAGATTGGTATTAATAAATCGAAATGGAAAATATATTCAACTAAAATGATAGGTTTGAATTAGTAATTAGGCAATTTGTTTTTTTCTATTAAACTATTCACTAGAAAACAATTAACTTACTTTAATGTATTTTATTTATTGCTTATTCCATTAATTCTTGGCAGTATATGGGTAATATGCATGTATACAATTAATTATGTCTTTAATGTAAAAACAGTTCGTTTTCCTATTATATTATTTTTATAGAAACAAACATCAAAACATTAATTTTTATATTTCTTGTAATTGTTTCTAAAATAGAAATGTGATTTTTTTGTAATTATATTAAATTTCTACGTTAAATCAGAAATCAAGATTGAAAAGTTTCACAGCATATTATAATAACATTAGTTCAAAACACTGCATAAGTAACTAAAATGGTAAAGTAGGGTAATAGTACGCAGTTAGCGTGTTCCTGCTTATATAATCTGGGAGTTCAAATAACTTCATCCTTAAGGATGATTCTTTTACAAATGGTTAAAGCCTAATGTTAGGGTAAAGTCGCTCTCAAATTAAACCGTACACAGTAAAACAATATTTGTTTATTTCAACGAAATATTAACCAGATTTTATGTTAATCTAGGTAAACTGAACGAAAAAGGTACGTGATATTAATAAAAAAGTACATCAAATCAATGAACGACAACATTAATTTTCAGTCGACGACGGGTGTTGTTAATACAATGAACAGTCGTACGTAAATTTTCTTATTCATCAAGTTACGATTTCTGTACGTTAAATCAATGAATGAGGAGCATGGATCTGTGTTTCACTGTAATTAATACGATAAACAGATTTACATCGACCGTTCGACATAAGTTTATGATTAATATGTTAAATTAATAAACAACGAACATAGATATATGAAAGCATGTTATTATAAACGGTAGACATTAATTTATGATTATTTTACAGACATTAATTTATGATTATTTTACATTGAATTAATAAACAATTACCATAGATCTATGATCCCTTATAGTATTAATACTACGAACAAAAAAGCATTAGTTTATGATTTACTTAAATTTACATAAAATCCAAGACAAACCATATTAAAATTATTTGCCAAATTTACTTACCTTTTTATTTAAAATAAAGGTTTACTGGGTACGTGGGTACATTTTGTTTTAGCAACATAGAAATAGGAAAAAATATCTTATACAAATTACCCAGCAATCAATCACAAAAGGGGTTTCTTTAAAGTAAAGACGTTTTTGATGAATACATTTTTTTATTGCAAGAGAAATTTACAAATAATATGAACCTTTGGGCTCTAAAGAGGTTTACAAAATGCTCTATTTAAAAAGTTCCAAAACATGCTTTCCTGTAAAAAGTCAAGATTAAATATATAAATAATTTTAAAACATATATCGACCGCCTTAATTACATGAAATCCTAAATTATTTTATTTAAAATATTAAAAGTGTTTATTTTAAAAACTAAAAACTCATACACTTAAAATTTAAAAATAAAAAAAAAATATCCAAAAAAGTCAAAACTTCACAAGCTCACACACCTCGGTTTCGTATATTAGGTATATATAAAAAATAATCCAAAAAGGTCAAAAATGTTTAAAATAACTTCACAAGCTTACACACCTTGATTTTGCTCCATATATTTATTACAATTTCACATCATCAATAAAGCTTTTCCCCGATGACCTTCGGTCTACGACAGCGAAAATAATGTTTATGTTGATTTAATCAGGTAGCATTAATTTTTGCGCGTTTTAAGAAGTTAATGGTTAAGTTCGTAAAATCAATGTTTAGTGACCGTTGGGACAATGAAGACAGTTTATTATTATTTATGTTTTCCTGTTCATGGATCTATGACGAAAAATTTATTGTTTTAAAGATAAAGAACATCGTTTAATGATCGTCAATAGTTAATTCAATAAATTTTTATATTACCTATATTGATAAAGGAAATAATTAATTTTTGATGTTGTGCATTTATTGTTAAGTGTTGAATAGTGTATTGTTTCAATGTACTTAGTTATAACTAAGTACATTGAAATATATATTATATTATTATATATATATATATTATTATATATATATAAATATATTAATCTATGATGAAAAAGCATTGTAATAATCACCAATACATAATTAATGTACAAAAAATTGACGACAGCAGTTTATTAATTTTACGTACAGTTTTTCTTTTTGTGTACACATGTAACTTTATGGTGAGTTTACAACCAACTTTAATCTGTTAACTAATTGAATAAGTTTGTAATTATAACAGACATTTTGTAGATTTTATAACTAAATCCGAATAATAATAACAGATTTTTGTAATAAATTATACAGTTGTCAAAAACACGTTACAAATTAGAATGAAGTAAGCAGAAACATAAGTTGCAGACGCTGATGTCAGTTGAACTTGTTGATGCGTATTGTCAGTGGGAAATGATTTGATTGGCTGCCTGAAACCACGTGTACTTTTTCAACGGAATAATTTCTTAAACAATAACAAAATAATCTGTAACCTTTAAAATTAACAAAATGCTTACAAAAATGCATATTACCTTTACAAAACTTTCGGTAGAATATTTTCCTTTGTTAAAATAATAACAAACCCTGGTTTTCTACAAAAA